AGAAGGAGAAGCCAAATATTCTTCAAGAAGAGCAAGAGGAAGATCAAGAAGTTCTTGTTCATTCAACCAAGAATTATTTGAGGGTGGATGCCTTTTCCATTGCACCAAATAGCATCAGAAACCTCCATGTTTAGAGCCAACAAATCGATCATCCAAAACCTTGATAACCTCCTCATAGCAATGTGCAAGAGGGGGCTCTTTAGGAGCGATTGTACCTGCAACATTATGAGAAGACAAAGCAGGGGGTTCAAATGTACCCTTATAAGACGACAAATCTTCTACATTGAAAACTAAACTAATAGAATAATGATCAAGTAAATCAACTAAATATGCATTAGATCCAAGTTTTCACATAATGGGATAAGGCCCAATGGCTCTAGCATATAATTTTCTTGAAGCATTCTTTGGGACATGTTTAGGGTGAACTCAAACCATTACAAAATCACCAACACTAAAATCTTTAGCTTTACGATGCACACTAATAGCTAATTATAATTAGTAGTATTCATAGCAATTTTTTATCTAATCTCAGCATGCAAGTCATGGAGGTGTTGAGCAAAATATTCGGTAGGTTCAAAAACATGAAAATTAGGTGGTAAAGGAACAAGGTCAAAAGGGGTATGAGATTTGTAGCCATACACAATTTCAAATGGACTTTTGCTAGTGGTACGATGAACCGAATTATTATATCCAAACTCAGCAATAGGCAAAACTAAGTCCCAATTACCTTGCTTCTCTCCAATACAACAATGTAAAAAATTCCCAAGACTATGGTTAACCACCTCGGTTTGGCCATCAGTTTGAGGTTGAAAAGTAGTAGAGAAGAGAAGGGTAGTACCACACAATTTCCATAATGTCTTCGACAAGTAACTAACAAACTTAACATCTCTATTTGACACATTTGACTCAAGCAAACCATGTAACTTGACAACCCCTCAAAACAACAATCTAGCGACACGAGATGCATCAGTAGTTTTGCCACATGGAAGAAAATGTGCCATTTTAGAGAACCTATCAACAACCACCAAAATGGAATGATGACCTCTAGCGGCTCTTGGTAACCCTAAGAAAAAATCCATGCTTATCTTTTTCCAAGGTGCGTAAGGAATAGAAAGGGGGGTGTACAGACCAGTATTTTGTTTTTTTGCGTTTGACACTTGACATGTATGACATTGGGTGAAAATTCTAGCCACATCCCTCTTTAAACTAGGCCAATAAAACCTATCCTCAACCAAGGCAATAGTTTTATCCTTTCCTAAATGGCTAGCCAAACCACTTGCATGTAGTTCCCAAATTAGAAAATCTCTAAGTGAAGTTGTGGAATACAAAGTTTAGTAGCTTTAAACAACTAACCATCATGCACTAAAATGTCTACATGATCTTTACGAGTTCCACTCACAACCTCACTATAAATCAACCCAAAATCAAGACATGAAATGTACTCATCCTTTAACCTATCAAAACCCACGACACTAGCATGTAATGCATGAACAGTGCAGACTCGCCTATTAAGACCATCATCAACCTTATTTTAGCCCCAGATTATGTTTTAAAAAAAATGTGTACTCATTTAAGAACGCCACCCACCTAGCATGTCTAGCATTTAAGTGTTTTTGAGCATGTAGATACTTCAATGATTGGTGATCACAATAAAGCACAAACTTAAAAGGCAACAAATAATACCATCAATAACGAAGAGATTAAATAACAGCGTAAAGTTTTCTATCATAGGTGGAATATTTGTGGCTAGTTTCAAATAATTTCTCATTAAAGAATGCAATGGGGTGACCTTCTTGACTCAGTACCTCACCTATACCTACCCCAGAAGTATCACAAGCAACCTCAAAAGGTTTATGAAAATTAGGATGCCTAAGGACTGGATTTTCAGTCAATTTTTGCTTAAGTTCTACAAATTCTCTAAAAGCAGTAGAGGTCCAATTAAACTCACCTTTCCTAAGACAGTCAGTGATCAGGGCCATAATGGTACTAAATCCTTTAATAAAGTGCCTATAAGAAAGTAGCTAAACCATGAAAACTACGAGTTTCAAAAATTGTTATAGGTTTAGGCCACTTTCTAATAGCTCTTACCTTGTCAAGATCCACTACTATACCTTGTGCTGATACTATAAAACCTAAGAAAAGAACATTGGATTGGAGAAAAGTGCATTTCTTAAGGTTAGTGTAAAGCTTTGCAACCCTAAGTGCCAAAAATAATTGTCGTAAATGGTTTGGGTGCTCCTCCTTAGACTTGCTAAAAATTAAAATGTCATCAAAATAGACCACTAAGAACTTCCCTAAAAAAGGTTGCAGTACATGGGTCATAGTTTGCATGAAAGTACTAGGAGCATTAGAGAGACCAAATGGCATGACAAGCCACTCAAACAAACCATCATGAACTTTAAAGGCAATTTTCCTCTCATCCTCGGGCCTAATATGAATCTAGTGGTAGTCACTACGTACATCTATTTTGGAAAACCAACTAGAACAAGCTAATGTGTCGAACATATTCTCAAGACATGGGATAGGGAACCTATATTTGATAGTAATTTTGTTAATGGCACGACCATCCACACACATCTTTCAGGACCCATCTTTTTTTGGTGTTAATAAGGCAAGCATAGCACAGGGGCTAAG